AAAGCCCGCTCCTCCTCCCCCCTGTATCCAGGCTCTCTCTTTCTCCAGCCAATGGGAAGGCGCCGAGGGCTCTGATGCGCGTGGCCGTGAGACCTGGGTGCGCGCGACAGCGCCCGCTCCCAAATCCTGTCAGGTGCGGCCTCTCTGAGGGAGGTGAGGGCCCGGAGAGCGTGCGAGGGGCCACACAGGAGAGCCAGGGAATACGAGGAGGGGCTCACCTGCGGGGACTGTCACCTGGGACCGAAGAGCCCTGCCCTGGTCCAGGAGAGACCTGGTACATCATAGGAAGTCCTGCAGGGACCGTCACAGGCTGGCTCTACAAGGGACTGTGACAAGGACTGCAAACAACGCAGCTGGCCAAGGTGGAGCCCAGGAGGAAGCCACACGGGGCCCCTAACTTCTTATACACAGTCCCAGGGACTGAGGCTGCTCAATTTGCTTCAAATAATCCCAAAGGACACAAATTCTCGGGAGGGACCTCCACGGGAACTAAGGACTTCTTCCAGGACGCTGGGGAAGAAAAAGGACCGAACACTTGAGGTACTGAAAGTCCTGCAGGGACTGTCATAGGGTCCGGAGAACCCTACAGAGTCAAGAACCAGACATTGCACTTGGAGGGTCCTCGTTGTCTACAATAAGTCCTGAAGGGACCATAGATCTTTTCGCTGTCTCCGGAGGTCCCTAAAGATCAAGGACTGAGGACGTCGAGGTACTGTTACCGGTCCTGAGCACCGAAGGAGAGAATTCACTGCTCACACGTAGTCCCAGCAGGGACTTTGTCAAGGACTGGGAAACCAGGATTATCCATAGAGTGCTTTACGGGGGACCGGAAACCAATTCTGTGCCGGAACTGTGAAGAGGACCTGATGAGTTAAACCTGTCCTGCAAGGACTGGAGACCTGCAGGGCCCGAATTAATCATCCAAGGACCTGTGAGGACTCTCTGGGGTCCTTGAAGGATTGTCACAGGCCCCTGTATACCAAGTCCTAGAAGGACTGTAACAGACTTCATATAGCAAGTCCTTGGAGGACTGTCACGGGACCTAGAAGGACTGTCACGGGACCTATATACCTCGCTCTAGACTGACTGTCACATGCCCTATATACCAGGTTCTAGACGGACTGTCACGGGCCCTATATACCACGTCACTGCAGGACAGTCGGGTCCTAGAAGGACTCTCGTGGGCCGTATATTCCGGCTCCTAGAAGGACCATCACGGGCCCTATATACATCATTTTAGAAGGACTGTCACGGGCCCTTTATATCACATCGCTGGAGGACAGTCAGGGCTCCTAGAAGGACTGTCGCGGGCCCTATATACCGGCTCCTAGAAGGACTGTCACTGGGTCCTAGGAAGACTGAGACGGGCCCCTACATCCCATCGGTCCCTGTCCAGCATCTCGCAGGAAGTTGACTGCTGAACAACCACAGTCACCCCCCACACCTGACGCACAGGCCCCCCCCCACAGGGACCGAACAGTCCGCATCCGGGACCCCCAGCTACCCTTTTTTGTGGATATACAGATCCGGTGTCGTGTGAGCGCACAGAACACGACACACGCCGGCTCCGAGAGGTCCCTGTGCCGTGTCTGCCTGAGTCCCTGCGTGTGTGTGTTGCAGGTCTGTGTTGGTTGTGGGTGTGCCGATGACAAGCTGTGACAGTGTGTGGGAGTCCTGTGTGTGCCGATCCCGCAGCCCGCCGTGCTGTGTGTTGCTGCGTGCGGACTGAGAGCCTTGCGAGTGTGTGCGTGCGGATTGCGTGTCGCAGGTTGTGTGTGTGCGGATTGTGTTTCGCAGGTTGTGTGGATTGCGTGTCGCAGGTTGTGTGCGGATTGCGTGTCGCAGGTTGTGTGCGGATTGCGTTTCGCAGGTTGTGTGCGGATTGCGTGTCGCAGGTTGTGTGCGGGTTGGGTGTCGCAGGTTGTGTGCGGGTTGAACTGAGAGCCTTGCGAGTGTGTGCGTGCGGATTGCGTGTCGCAGGTTGTGTGTGCGGATTGCGTGTCGCAGGTTGTGTGCGTGCTGATTGCGTGTCGCAGGTTGCGCGGTGTTGTGTCTCCCGCAGCATGTGAGTCACTGCAGTCTGTGTGGTGCGTTGTTGCAGTGTGGTGGGTCGGCTCTCCTCGGAGTGATGCGAGCTCCCCTCTCTGCATAGAGAGCACGTTGCGCGGCTGTGTGCTGTGCCTGCACCTCTCCCCCTCCCGTTGAATCGGTTGTGTGTGTGTTTCTAGCCGTGTGCATGTGACCTCTCGAGCGGCGTGCGTTGTGCTGTGAACACGCACCCATCTTTTGTTTTTGGTGCCGCCCACCGCGCAAGGAATCATGGCAGCCGACCCGCCAGCCCGGAGCCTGGACGATATCGACCTCTCAGCTTTGCGGGTGAGAAACTTGAGTTTCTGTGCAACTTTTTTTCTTTGCTTTGTGTTGGTAACTGTAACCGCGGCGGAGTAGGTGAGGTGTGAATCGAAAACCGATGTGATGTCAATCTGTTTGGGGGGGGGGGTTTAGTTAAAACTGAAGTAGTTGCCCACGGCAACCAATCCGATTTCTCTTTCAGTTTGTTCAGCTTCTCTCTTTCGTTTTCAAAGAATAACTGGTTGCCATGGGCAACTGCTCCAGTTTTATTGAATTCCTCCCCTCAGTGTGTTATTGCCGCTTGTCTGCGTGACGGCGTATGCAGGCAGCACAACTTAAAGCTGAACTCCGGGATTAATACTCACGTGTGTTCTAGAATCTTGGTGAGCTCGGTGTATTTCTTCCAAATCTGTGCAGTAATCCCGTGTGACACTTGGAGCTTCCTGTAATAAAGACCGGTCACAGCTGCTCACTCTCCTTGTGCAGGGTGACTGGTCTTGTCTCCGCCCCTTCCTGTAATAAAGACCGGTCACAGCTGCTCACTCTCCTTGTGCAGGGTGACTGGTCTTGTCTCCGCCCCCTCCTGTAATAAAGACCGCTCACTGTTGCTCTCTCTCCTTGTGCAGGGTGACTGGTCTTGTTTCCGCCCCCTCCTGTAATAAAGACCGCTCCCTGTTGCTCACTCTCCTTGTGCAGGGTGACTGGTCTTGTCTCCGCCCCCTCCTGTAATAGAGACCGCTCACTGCTGCTCACTCTCCTTGTGCAGGGTGACTGGTCTTGTCTCCACCCCCTCCTGTAATAAAGACTGCTCACTGCTGTCCTCTCTTTGTGCAGGGTGACTGGTCTTGTCTCCGCCCCCTCCTGTAATAAAGACCGCTCACTGTTGCTCTCTCTCCTTGTGCAGGATGACTGGTCTTGTCTCCGCCCCCTGCTTCAGTTTCCTGCTGGGCCCCTCCCACAACTCTGCACAGGCTATGTACAGAATAGTGATGAGGTTGCTGCTACTTTTACAAGGCGATATCTGGGTTTGTAAAGGCGTTTGGTGCACACGGAATGGATTTATATCCTTTGTAGTTATTGAGGAATAGATTTATATGAGAGGTTCTGGGCCCGGAGTTCAGCTTTAAAGTAGACGTGTCTTCTAAGGTTGAATTTGATGGTCAGTGTGTCATTTGTCATTTTCCTAATAAAATCCTGTTCTCACTCATTGTTCCATCTCAGTGCTGCTGATCTCCTGCCGCCACTTCCTGTCTACATGCGCTCCGGCGATGGCTGCTTGACATTTCTCAGGGCACGTATCATGATGGTGACAACAGTGGACAATGTCTGTGTGATGTATGTGTTAACAGTCGCTTGTAGTCTCCATCGGAAGCCCATGTGTCAGGGTGACAACCCAGGAGCACCTTTTAGGAGACAAGGACAGAGCCTTGTCACCCTTTAACAGGAAGTGCCCAAACAATGGCAGGATGTAGTCTCCGTTGGAAGTCTACAGTTTATGACAGAGTGACAACACAGAGTCATAATAGGAGTCAGGGGCAGCCCCTTGTCGCACTATAACAGGGGCAGTCAGCATGGGGTGTAAAGGTATACAGCAAGGGTAGCCAAACTTGAGCCCCTTCAGCTGTGGTGAACCTACACGTCCTGTCATGCCTGTAGCTCTGAGTCTAGCAATGCCTCATGGGATTTGCAGTTTCACCACGGGGGGGAGGAGGAGCAGAAATTTGGCCACACCTGGGCTAGATGATGCTGGACATCCTCAAGCTAAGAAATTAGGCGGTCTCTATGTGACTGACACATATTGTGCAGGCACGGTCCACTGTTGTCACTATCAGGAAGCCAGCCCAGACCGTTGATGTGCACCTGATGCTGGAACAAGTGTATGTAGACAGGAAGTGGGTGACCACAGGAGATGAGCAGTACACGAGATGTGATCACAGATGAAAGCAGAATGTTATAAAACTATTTTGAGTTGGATACACAGAGTGATAAGCTATGTCAGGATGCTGCGAGAGTGCGGAGGACACGCTGTAGTTCTGGTTTAGAATGCTGGGGTGGGATGTTGCTGTTTATGTAGTTGGCTGTATAAGAGGAGTCGGTCCATTGAGGAGTGACAGGAAGTGGAGCCGGCAGTGCTGACTTCAAAGGACCAAGACTGGGGTCCGTTATCTGCTCCATTTTCCTACTTGGCGAGTCATTGACCTGGAGCAAGTTTGAAGGCTGAAATAAATGCGTCGATGCTGTAAAGAGAAAAATAATGTGCTGCATTGGAGCCTGCAGAGCATTGCAACCATGATCAGTGGGTGGCGGGTGCAGGGCTCCTGCAGACGCTTGCTCGAGTCCTAGGTCTGTACATTACCACCATTGGGTTCTTCCCTCTGTCCGCCAACGTGAGGGACGTGCTTCCCTCTGTCCGCCAACGTGAGGGACTTTCTTCCCTGTGTCCGCCATCGTGAGGGACTTTCTTCCCTGTGTCCGCCATCGTGAGGGACTTTCTTCCCTGTGTCCGCCATCGTGAGGGACTTTCTTCCCTGTGTCCGCCATCGTGAGGGACTTTCTTCCCTGTGTCCGCCATCGTGAGGGACTTTCTTCCCTGTGTCCGCCATCGTGAGGGACTTTCTTCCCTGTGTCCGCCATCGTGAGGGACTTTCTTCCCTGTGTCCGCCATCGTGAGGGACTTTCTTCCCTGTGTCCGCCATCGTGAGGGACTTTCTTCCCTGTGTCCGCCATCGTGAGGGACTTTCTTCCCTGTGTCCGCCATCGTGAGGGACTTTCTTCCCTGTGTCCGCCATCGTGAGGGACTTTCTTCCCTGTGTCCGCCATCGTGAGGGACTTTCTTCCCTGTGTCCGCCATCGTGAGGGACTTTCTTCCCTGTGTCCGCCATCGTGAGGGACTTTCTTCCCTGTGTCCGCCATCGTGAGGGACTTTCTTCCCTGTGTCCGCCATCGTGAGGGACTTTCTTCCCTGTGTCCGCCATCGTGAGGGACTTTCTTCCCTGTGTCCGCCATCGTGAGGGACTTTCTTCCCTGTGTCCGCCATCGTGAGGGACTTTCTTCCCTGTGTCCGCCATCGTGAGGGACTTTCTTCCCTGTGTCCGCCATCGTGAGGGACTTTCTTCCCTGTGTCCGCCATCGTGAGGGACTTTCTTCCCTGTGTCCGCCATCGTGAGGGACTTTCTTCCCTGTGTCCGCCAACGTGAGGGACTTTCTTCCTTGTGTCCGCCAACATGAGACGTTCTTCCCTCTGTCCGCCAACGTGAGGGACGTTCTTCCCGCTGTCCGCCAACGTGAGGGACGTTCTTCCCTCTGGCCGCCACCGTGAGGGACGTGCTTCCCTCTGTCCGCCAACGTGAGGGACGTGCTTCCTTCTGGCCGCCAACATGGGGGACGTTCTTCCCTCTGTCCGCCAATGTGAGGGACGTGCTTCTCTCTGGCCACCAACGTCAGTGACGTGCTTTCCGCTGGCCGCCAATGCATCTGGGTATTACACCAGGGCTGGACATATCCCAAATAGAGGTCCTTTGAAAAAAGGGGGGGGGGGACTGCCAACTAACGTTTGAGTTTTTCCCTAGTTGTTGTCAGACGATCTGAACCGACCGGCTTCTGAATTCAATATTGATTTACCAGGTCCTGCCACTGCCCACCACTGTAATGGGGGATCCTTTCCACTGACCACCAGTGCAATGTGTTTCAGTTGATGTACAGTAATCTGCAGATATAGTCATGTATTGGGGCCTAAATATGCTTTCAATGGTTCCTTCATGATAAAGGTTGAGAAGGAACGCTCCGAAGACTCGAGTTACCAGGAGGCAAGCTGTCTCAGATGTTGCAACCTCCATGTCTGGCACAAACAGTAGTTCCTCGGTGAAAGCTGCTGGGATCACACGTCTTCCCCTTTCTGAGGTCTGGTCAAACAGCTCGTGATCCTCTTTACTGAGTTGCAGCTTTGTGGTTTGCTGTTTGACTTGCTCCTGGCGTGTTATGTGGAAGAAACGGCTGTATGGGGGCTGTTTGCATTGCTGAGGAGTTATCTGCCGCTTTTCCTTTTGTTTGGAAATATCTTTTCAGGGCTTCTCCACACCATGGTGCCTCTGGCAGTGTGCAGTGCCTATTGACGTGTTGTTGCTGCAGTTTGGGGAGGTCCGCTTCTAAAAACAAGCATGCAGGTTTATAGTGACTGCAATTCAATATGAAGAACTAGTTCTAGAAGAAAATGGCTTTACCGAGGTAGACCCCCTGTGGGTGGGAGTTCTCAGATGGAGCTGAAGCTGGCTGCGCGTGTTACGAATGGTACATGCTACTCCTTTTTATTATTTGGTTTTACCAAAACTATGTAATGCGAGAGCCTTCCTAAACCATCTATTCAATCTGTATCCAATCAGCGAGGTGCTTGCACTATACGTAGTAAGATCTAAAGGAGGTTGTACAGTTAGACTGTAACATGAATGGTGGGCTTTAGAGGAGGGCTGGACAATTTCCAGTTGCCAGGTCACCATGGTGACTAAAAAAACTCTGGCGACCAGGTCTTTGAGAGCATAGATAAGGGATGGTGGGGGAGGGTTTTTAAAGCAGATGTATACTAATTATTAAGAAATTGAGCTTTTAGTCTATCCAACCCTGGAGTCAGCAGGGTTTCTATTTTTTAGGAACCAGCTCCTTTTGACAACAACTAGAGAACGCCTCAAAAATGCTTGAGCTATGGCTACCTGACTACCGGTATTTGTCCAGCCCTGGGTTAAGAGGGTCCAACAACCCACTTCCCCCATGTACTCATTCTTCCCACTGTCCACCAATCTCAGGGACCTTCTTCCCTCTGTCCTACAATCTAAGGGACCTTCTTCCCTCTGTCCACCAATCTAAGGGACCTTCTTCCCTCTGTCCACCAATCTAAGGGACCTTCTTCCCTCTGTCCACCAATCTAAGGGACCTTCTTCCCTCTGTCCACCAATCTAAGGGACCTTCTTCCCTCTGTCCACCAATCTAAGGGACCTTCTTCCCTCTGTCCACCAATCTAAGGGACCTTCTTC